ACTTGCATTGGAAGTGAACCACTTCCAATGACATCAGATGTCATATCACTAATGCCGCATGAAACGAACACAGACGGCAGAAATAACGTCGTAGGATCAATCGTACAAATTGACAAAAAAAGTAATAATGAAGCATTCCTGTCGGCAGTTTTTACCGTATCACGCATGCCAAGAACTGGTTTATAGTGCGATGAGCTCCCTGTTGAAAGGTTACGCGCGTCGGGTCTTCCGTTTGCTGTCCACTGCGTTGTAAAAATCACGTCAAGTTTGCACGTTTGGCGTTCTGCGTGAGATTCTTTGTTCCTTTACTCTTTTTACCGGAACGTGTGTGCGCGTGTTCGGCAATTTGGGTCTCATGGGTTGTAGAGGAGTCTCCCACGTTCTAAAAGTTGTGGTTGACGCATCTCCCACGTTCCCCATGGTGTTGCCGTCCCTGGTTCCACCCACATGTTACTCACCCAGCGACATTTGTTCAGCTGTTTGGTTTAAATCAAAACGCCCCGGGTGGCCGGTTAAAGATACCCTTCGCTGGGGTGGGCGGGGCCTATTTAACCCCCCATCCTGGAATCTTAGACACTAAGAGAGCTGACACCAGATTCACAGGATGTGTTGGCATATGCGTGAATTCACTTGTGTCAAAATTTGAGGTTCCTGAGTCATGACCTCCGGATCAAATAAGGTCAAACAAGGTCAATCCTCAGATTGCTGTCCAAAGCGCCCTCAGAGCATTTTAAGGGACCACCGTGAGCCTAGATATCTGTTCTAAGCAAAAGGTCACTGGTGCTCATTTTGGTCAGTGACGTCGTTGCCACTGACTTTTTGTTTAAAGGCGGCGGTGACCTTTTAAGGTCATGGTGACCAAAGCCATACAAGACTGCTTTGATTTTTGCATTTGAGTGAGAGTCAAAGATGACGCCAGGCAGTATGTTCCTAAAAAGCAAAATGTTGACCTTGGTTATTGTAAGTCAGTGATCTATTATGACCTTTAAGAAGTCATTGGAAGATGCTGAATGCGTTTCCTGTTTTAAGAAAGTAGTAATAGCCTTATTCCTCGGAGAAAAACCAGGAGAATGAAGATATAGTCACTTGATATTTCGACAACATACCCTTATCGAAAATCGACCCAACTATAGATCCATTCTCCTGGTTTTCTCCAAGGAATAAGGCTTATACTACTTCCGAAGTTATGTGAATAATGTTCCTCGCTAACGGCACTGGATAACTTACGTTTCCTGTTATCAATAGATGCAAATGAGCAACCAGAATCAAACCCATGCAGAAAAACTCCAGAGCGATAAGACAGGTTGGCTTCAACCTTGTCCTGGCATTCATATCTGATGCTAGGTCAATGGAATTTGTTCATTCAGCTGTTGTGCTGCCTAAGAAGCTACCGCAGATGTGGTAAGAGTTTAGTCAACACTTCCGTTGTTGCATCAGATTGAACGATCCCATAGACATTGTCTTCGCAGAATCCATGGCCTGACTTCGTCCTGCCGTAGGTCAGCGACCTTATGAGCTACATCTAAATTTTTATATCAAACGATACGCTATTCCTGTTATAAAAGCTATGTGAAATTTAGCGTGGCTACGCCGCCCCGCTCAAAAACTTTTCCGGGGAAAACCGCCGGGGGGGGGGGGGGCGGGGCAAATTGACCTCCTCCCACCCGAGCGCGTGTCAAGGAAGAGTTGGGGAAGTCTACGCCCAATCTAACACTTCTTTGGTTATAATTGCAAAAGCAGCGTGAGTGGAGCTAATTGTGGCAAAAACAAGCACCATCAGTAATTTTGTGGAGCGTTCCACATTGCACTACCTGTCAGACATTTTGTAAATGCCCTTATCCATACCTGTAACTATACCGGTAACTTTCACTCGCATCTTTACCCAACCCAACCCGCTACCCGGGTTGAGTTGCTCACATGGAAGTACTCGCAACTTCGTGGGTGCTTCCATGCGAGGACCCACGAATTTGACCGGCACGTGAGTCCTCCAGCTGACGTGCTAGCAGTGTTGGGGTACGCGCGCATGGCAGCCGCGTGACAACCTGAGCTACCTCACACATTGGGTTGTTGCTTGAGTAACGTGTAGGTCTTGCCAACCAACCATAGCGGGCAGAAAAGGCAGACCATCTCAGGAAGACTTGGCGGGGTGAGTGCCAGCCCCTAATGTGTTCAGTCTACCGGTTTCTTGCTCCTGCGAGACTAGTTTTGGAAACCTTGGATTAACAGTTTGACCTGGATCAACCACGGGCACTCCCGCGCTTCATCGCAGGGTTGTATCACTCTCAAGGGCTAGTGCGGTTGGAATCTGAACTGCGAGACACGCAGGGGTTTAAAACGAATCCAGGGGCATGGTGTATTTACATCGCGATGACACATTTCCCCACTTTGTCGGATATCACCAGATTACATCACTTGCATGTGTAGAAGCCACGCTGACATAAGTTTGACATCAGCTCACCTGTCACGTCAGCTCCTGTATACAGCGCGGGAAGGGTCCGAGTCTCACAACGAGCCGACTGGACGGTGTGGCCTTCCAGCACTGCAACCCAACATCCATCCATGCTGCGACAGGACGATAATTCTTACCGCATATCAACCCCACGTGCGCCTAACTCATGGACAAGATGATGTCCCGACCCAGTTCCTGGCAGTCACTTTGTGAGCACACGTGACCTGTATCACGAGCGGCGGCTGGCCTCATCGTCTGAAATAATTCCACCAATTACAGAACGACGTAGAATTGCAGCGTAACATACGATCTAACCGTTCCCAGCTGTATGTACAAAAGCGATGTTACACGCACAGGTGGCACATACCTATTTACAATCGTTCAAATGACGGTTACACTCGTCGAAACAAGAGAAACACTGTCAATGGCATAACTATGAAGCAGACAAACGAGGGTCCGGCGTCACGCTCTGCCTCAGTAAAGTTTGCCACCAGGGAATCGCGACGTGTTCCCATAAGGCATCAAGCACCATCACTAACACACAAGTACTGAAACTCCGGCTGACTCACAGACGCGGGAAGAGCGCCCCACGCCTCCCGCCATCACGGAACTCCATACATAGGCATGGCATGAACTCCATACGGAACTCCATACATAGGCATGACATGAACTCCACACGGAACTCCACACAATAAGCATGGCATGAACTTGATACGGAACTCTGTACATAGGCATGTGCATATGGAGTCAGCTCAATGAGAACCACCGCGTCCACATCCGCCAATCACCACGCGTTTTGATTAAGGTATGCATGCAAGCCGCCACAGTGGCAGGCGGCTTGGAAGACCGAACCTCGGTTCAGTGATCCTCGGTGTCACGTGAGAGGTCGCGCACCGACCGTATAGTCGTGCATGCGTGACGCCTATACACGAAACACACACCACGCACCATCACGCTGACTGGCGAACACACAAAATATCACAGCCCGCTTACACACGCGGGGAAATGGAGAAGAAAGTCCGTCTCACGTGTGGCATCCAGCAGAACGCGGTGTCTCACACGGCGTTCCACATCCATTGTCAGACAAGACATCAGACAGGGACGGGCATTCAGTGAGACACTGCGGAGACGGGCGTCTCAAGAGACCTCCAACGGAGCCCGGTGCCTTAAGAGATGCCTGGCGGGTGTCGGCGGCTCGCAAAAAAGCAAAATCCGACAGAGACGCCCCATCAGAGAGCCGACCGAGATCAGTGTCTCGCGAGACATCCCGCAGACACGCGTGTCCCCACCAGACATCCGGCCAAGATCGCTGTGTAACGAAACCCCCACACCCGAGTGTCGTGTCGCGCAGAAGGGCGCGCCCCACTCTCCGCCCGACCAACGGAACCCCCATGACGACACCAGCGTATCACCGACCGACCGCCGCCGCGGGCCGCTTCAGAGTGCAGGTTGGGGGGTCCGTTTCCGGGGGGGGGGGGGGGGCGCGGCTGGCAGTGGGAGCCTCCAGGGCTGGTGCTGAAGGGCTTCGGCTTACGCGTGGCGGATCCTGCCGGAGTAACGTGGGATGGGTCGGTGTCAGCCATCTGCCCTCAGGATATCAAACATTTACAGTACCGACTTATATTTACTGATTAAGCCGTACAGGGGGCAGAAAGATCGCACTGCACTTTGGGGTCACTCACCCAGGTTCACTGGAGCATACATGAGGTCTTGGGATAGGCACACAATAGGCTCGGAGGGTGGTTACGCAGGCTATGAAATTGACCCATACCGACTTTGAGGATGATTTACAAACGGCGGCAAGGGGGACTTGAGTGGGCACTCACAGCCTCGGGGAAGCACTCGTGCAAGCTTGGGTTGGCTCGGGAGGCACTCAAGCCGACTCGCAGCAGGCACTCACGCTAGCTTGAAGGTGTGGGACACTCACGCTAGCTCGGAGAGTCTTTAACGCAGGGTTCGAGAGCCGTTCGCGCGGCCTCGATGGGACGTTCGCGCCGGCTCGAAGCCAGACACTCACGCGGCCTTGATGGGCCACTCGTACCGGCTCGAAGGCGTGCACTCACGCGGCCTCGATGGGACACTCGCACCGACTTGAGGAGAGGCACTCACGCGGCTTCAGACGGGAAGTACGGCGGCGGCCGTTCGCGGGTGGCCTGCGGGCTGTCCGGGTAGCCGGGCGGACCCTCGTGCATCTCCTCCCACCTAGCCAACGGACGGCTCGGTTAGTGATGCGGGCGGCGGGCGGCTGCGGAGGCGCCGCCACCGCTGGGTTGGGGTAGCAGTGTTTCCGGGGTTAGTTAGTGGTCTGTCGAGAGGGATGGATATTTGATGGACGAAATGGAGTATCTTGGAGGAGACCGTGCGTATGCCCTGTGTCCTGTGTTCGTCACTGCTTTGCAGCGCGCGGTTAAGTTCGCTATGGCTGACGGAGCTAAAATTTGACTTCAACGTACCAAACAGCTGTGATAATAAATTAATGTCGTTAAGCAAACACAACAATCAGTGCTGGGAAACCTTCACCAGGCACGCCAGAAAGCTGAACATCACTCTCAAACACGCCCCTCCCCGCTCCCCCTCCCCACACGCACGCTACACGACTCACAGCGGCGGTGCCTTAGGCTCGGTGTCCCCCAGCTCGGCCGTAGCTCCCAGTGGCCTGAAGTGCTGGCCGCGCGGCGGAATGGCCGAGTACGACGGCGACTCGGGGCTGTAACCATGGTAACGGCTGTTGTCGTGCGAGCGACTGCGCCGCCGGTCGCCGCGCTGATCTCGCACGCTGCGGACGGAGGGGCCGTCAGAGACGCGGCTGACACCTAGCGGAGGCTGGACAACGCGCGGTTATCATCGCGGAATACTCAGATCGTTTAAAGCGCTGCAACATTACCGTTGTAGCCCGCATGGCCAACCACATTAGTCAACGATCTGTCTTGCCACACAACTATTCCTTGCGCCCAAACCAAGCCAAAACTGTTTGGCGGTAAGCAACGGTACTCTGAAGCTTAAACATATGCCGTCTTCAAGCTTTTTTCTGAAACAACGGTCTACGGAAAATATTCGTTGCTCACTGTTTGGATCTTAGGAGGTTAGTGGGCAATTGGCCATGAAGGATACATTTTCAGTCCCGACATCCAGTGCTTACTTTGCCAGGGGAATGTGGTCATGATCACCGTAGGCGTCGTACAGATCGCTGCAAGAACAGTTTGGATATCAGACAAACAAAGTCAGACCGAAGACAACCCACGGCATGCGCTGATGCCAGGTCAGCACAACGGAAATCAGCTGACAGAATAACAGTATTCTCGGAGGTTGACGTCATGGTACTGGAGCGACACATGTTGATCACATCAGTCAAAAACTGGTTGAGTGAATTCTCAATAAAGACAGGCAGCGACATACCAGAAATCGTTTAGTGGAGGGTACCATCATGGATCACCAGCGGCGCGCGGCACGCTTGACTAAGCCTGTCCCGAGTATCTGTGTACCATAAAGACCACAGATCACTTAGATCCCACAGGCCACAGGCAAAAACCGTCAACACACGCCGCTGTATTCGCTCCCTCGTGCACGGCCCACCAAACACAAGCAATCAGGCGGAGTCCAGGGGTCGCCTCGCCACTCACGTGTCCATCAGGCCCTCGGAGAAGGGCTCCGACTTGCGGTAGAGGGGCGTCAAGGCCAGGCTGATGATGACGCACGGGATGAAGAGCAGCAGGCACCAGCCGACTGCCGCCCAGAAGGCGTTCTGTCGGCCAGCCGGCGCCGTCAGCGGGGTGACGGCGAGCCAACGCGGATATGGCGGTCAGGCATGATGGAGGGTATTGACGACTGTTCGATAGCTTTTAGTGGTTGGATAGCATGCATGAGAGCGAGAGCGAAAACAAGAGCAAGAGCAAAAGCAAGAGCAAGAGCAAGAGCAAGAGCAAGAGAAAAAGCAAGCAAAAGCAAAGCAAAAGCAAGACCCAGGACCAGAGAGCCAGAGCCGGAGAGCCACAGAACGAGAGGGCGAGAGAGAGAGAGAGAGAGAGAGAGAGAGAGAGAGAGAGAGAGAGAGAGAGAGAGAGAGAGAGAGAGAGAGAGAGAGAGAGAGAGAGAGAGAGAGAGAGAGAGAGAGAGAGAGAGAGAGAGAGAGAGAGTCATTTTACCCGCGCCATTTGAATACGGTAGAATGCAATATTATTTCACTATAGCTACCACTTCATTAAGCGAACGGCAGGCTAGCGTTTGTGCCTCCGAATCAACAGACCCAGGCCAGAATCCTCCTCCAAAAGCCTTCAATGACCACATCTCCATCTGGGTGAGAAGGCACAGATGAGCTACCCTCCTTGCCCACGTCAACATCCCATTACAGGGATGAGAGAGTCTGCCTCCACACTCACGAAAGGGTAGATGACGTTGCTGCAGAGCGTGATGGCCGTGGAGTTGTACACGGTGCTAAGGGGGGCCGCACCGCCCCACCGTTCGCCCGAAGGCTCGCTCCACGCGCTCCGAGTAGCCGTTCACGTGCGAGATGAATTCAGACGTGAAGTCCTCCGCCAGCTGGTGGCACCGGTGTGAGAAGGTCAGGGGACGATTTGGCGTCTTCGCCTTTTTGGGAAGGTGCACCGCACGCCATTACGGACCCTCTGATGTAACACCAACGACCGCGATGGTTATAAGTATCAGGGACCATGATGTGCTCGGTATTCGAACGCGAGGGACGTAAGAACCCAGGGGCTTAAGCCATGGACAGCCACCACTCAACACCCGTCTAGTGGCTGGCGCAGCCCCATACCAACCTAACATGAGAAGATGATTATATTCCTATCGTCGTGCGAGTCCCAATTATCATCTCTTGATCAGCTCATTAACATCGGGAGTGTTCTTGAAACCGACTCCCCCCCCCCCCCCCGACTTCCTCCACGTATGCCTCTGCCTCTCCCACAGGGATCACGCTGACCCAAGCGACCTCTAGCGCCGACTCGTCCGACCTCTGTCTCTGACCTGGATGACCTCGGCGCGACCCTCGCGTGCGAAGGTACTGCTGAGCCGCCTCCGCCTGGGAGGTTAGCGCCTGCACCGCCTCAGTCACGTCCGTGTGGTTGAACTTGACGTGCTCCCGCAAGGCAGCCGTGGAGTTCTGCGCAGGTAACGTGTAGCGAGGTCAGGGAGGGGTGGTAACATGGTGAGGGGTCAGAGCGGGATGGTGACATGGTGAGGGGTCAGAGCGGGATGGTGACATGGTGAGGGGTCAAAACGGGGTGGTCACATGGTGAGGGGTCAGAGCGGGATGGTGACATGGTGGGGGAGTCAGAGCAGGATGGTGGCATGGTGAGGGGTTAGGGTGGGGCGTTGGCGTAGTGAGGGGTCAGGGCGAGTGGCGACATGACACGAGACCAGGACAGCATGGTGGCATGATTCGACGTGCTGGTGGGACGGCAGTATGGTACGGAATCAGGGCGGAATGGTGGCATGATGAGGGTCAGAGCGGGATGGTGACATGGTGAGGGGTCAGGGCAGGATGGTGACATGGTGAGGGGTGAGGGCGGGATATTGACATGGTGAAGGAGTTAGAGCGGGATGGTGACATGGTGGGGGGTGAGGGCGGGATGGTGACATGGTGAAGGAGTCAGAGCGGGATGGTGACATGGTGGGGGGTGAGGGCGGGATGATGACATGGTGAAGGAGTCAGAGCGGGATGGTGACATGGTGGGGGGTGAGGGCGGGATGATGACATGGTGAAGGAGTCAGAGCGGGATGGTGACATGATGGGGGGTCAGGGCGGGATGGTGACATGGTGAGGGGTTAGGGCAGGTGGCGACATGGCACGAGACCGAGACAGCATGGTGGCATGGCCCGATGTCCGGGTGGTGCGGAGGCATGGTACGTCATCAGGGCGGGATGGCAACATGGCCCGCCTGATCGCACCGTGGCTGCGGCTCGGGAATAATGGGAAGCATACAGAGGACGCAATGGCAGTCCTGAAGCTGGATGTTTGACATACGACTTGAGCATGTCTCCTGCCAGACGATGGATAAGCCGATATAGGCTTATGCTCCTAAGCACATCCGTAATGATGACCCACCACGTAGATTCCGTGAAAAAGTGCAGCTGATGAGGACAAGACAGGCTGATCCGTTGTACTCGTAAAAATAGCATGCGCTTAATGAGTCAATGCGCGGACGGTGAATATAAATGCGAGCATCTAATAATGCTGCTCATTAGCTACTATAGTCCTTCCTGAGGCCGAACAAACGCACACCGAAACGGCCAATTCCGGGCCCGGCCAGAGGCGTCCGACTAAACCACCACATCCGCCAGCTGGTGAGGAAGCTCACCAAGACGCCGTCGACGATCTCGGCCATGCCCTCAGCCACGCGCTGGTGCGCCATCAGGATGATGGCCTGGTTCCTCAGCTTGGTGGCCACGCTGCGCTGTGTGTTGGGTAGCTCCTGGGCGGCTGACTCCAGCTCGCGCCCCATGTTGCGCAGGTCGATCGAGAGCACGCGCTCCTTCAGCTGGTGGACAGTCGGCATGTGCTGATGGCTTTGACAGTAGTGCTTTCACTGTGAGGAACGCTGCGTTCGCGTTTGTCACACGAGCGCCAAATAGCAACAGCTGAGGCCAGTTATCGAATCCGGCTTTCAAGTGGAGGTCCGATCTCGCACCAACTGAGCTGTAATGTCTGTTTTGCAGCTAACTTTTAAGCAACTATGCAGAAGTTTTTGGATTGTTGACGCAGCAAGACCTCGACCTGTGTGAAACCAGTTGTACCTTATATTTGCCTGCGTACACGCAACGTCTATATATTCATTTCGTGATGTACTACGTACTGGAAAAGCTGTAAAAAACAAATGTAACAGGAATAGAAAATGCCCAAACCGTTTTGGGGTTTTAATTTGGAGGCGACATGCTTGCTCTATGGAGTCAAAATATCTATCATGACAAACAGGTGGCAAGACTAGATTAATTTCACAATCCAATCGTTCATTTGTAGCACAGATAGGCTTGGTTCAAAACTGGACATACTCGGTGATGCAAACGAAAACTTCGACTTACACATTTGAAGTGAAAATGAAATGCTACAATTTGCGAATGAAATAATTCCAGCAGCCAGAGCGACGCCGGCGCACGCTGGGGCACAGACAGTTTGATACGTACCGCGACAGCAAAGGCCGTGTAGTTGACCTGCGCTAAGTCCGTCTCGGCTAAATCTATCAGCTGCTGCCGGGCTCGCGGCGTCAGAATTTCTATGTCCGTGTCCACCTGAAAGGCGCGCGGCGCGGTTATCGTGAGGACAAACGTAAGACATGTGGTGGCGCGCACATGGGCGGAAGTGCAGTCGTTGAATTTTTTGATCAGCACACATACATGGTGCGCAAATGAAGATATGAGACTTTCAAATATCATCTCTGTTCTTATGTTGACAAAGGTCGGCTTACGCCCACCACTGCAAGAACTCAGGTGTTTGTTCAACGGCTGAGAACAAATCTTTGGCCGTGTTTCCATGTCATGCCAACTGCTCGACTGTGCCCACCTACTGATTCCAAGAGGTGCTCTCCACTGAAAGCATTATGTTATTGCCGATTATGTGGAGCATTAGACAGACATAACCCGGCAGTTATATCCTTCTCCCGGACGAACCATCACAAGCAGTCCGTCTAGGTTATGAGCATCTACCTACCCTGATCTCATCTCGTAGCCTGTCCAGCTGGTCATCCAGACCCAGGTTCCGTTTGTAGGTGCTGATCTGAGAAATATCGAACACGGGTTCCAGGTTGAGCACCTTGTAGATTGACTGGTTGCGATGGCATCGGCTGCAAACATAAAGTACTATTATGGCTCTGCTTTTGTCGCGAAGAGGCCCGAAACAGTCCGCTGCCCAGTAGAATGCTTTCACCTGACAAAGATGAATGTGACCGCATTCTCGTCGCCCAAGACCTTGGCTAAGTCACGCACGAGCAGTCTTGTTGCTTGAAGTCGGAATGCGCGATACTCATCTATTTTTTTTTTTTGCAAGCAGGTTTTTATTCATCAGGCTTCCACCAAACCGCACATAATAAAAAAACGCATATACGATTTCCCGGTTGCCAGCGCCGCCACTGCCATCCACCTACCTTAAGCAATATCCACCATCTACAATTGACTGGGCAGTTCACACACCGGACTGACCCATTAATTAGCAGTTCACACACCATGTTCACATTAGCAGTTCACATGACATGGATCACACCTGACCCATTGATTAGCAGTTCACACACCTGACCACCTCCGCTACATCGAAGCCTGTGGGCTCGAGCTGAGGGAGCAGCTTCTCCAGCGGATAGACGGCCTGCAGGATAGCGAGGCCGCTGCCGGGCGCCGAGGGGTTGGCCAGGCCGTCGCACAGGTAGAACTGGGCCAGACCGCCCAGCAGGAACATACACGTGATGAGCAGCAGCAGCAGCCAGCCGAACAGAAAGTAGAAGAACGTGCCGCTGGAAATGACGCCGAGCGCGTAAGAGAGAGAGGGGGGGAGTGATAGTGACGCCACGCTCATTTGACTGCGTTGTTGTGACATAGTCCATTGTAATGCGCATGATGTGACAAAGACTATATGGTTCAAAACAAAACGTCAAAATGGTGACAAAACATGGTCACACGTAGACGATGTGATCTATCAATTGGTGACTGATCATCAAACACACCCAGACCAGCGCTCTAGAATGTGAAATATATCCAAGTTAATTTTCACGAACAGGCAACACTGACGGCGCTCTAAAAGCATGCCTAGCGATCCTAAAAAAAAAACCCTGCAGTAGCACGAATTCGTCACCAGACCAGTGGATAAGTGGCCAGGTTCTCGCACAGTCCTCTCCCAAAGTTCTGTCGCGCTTTCTCCGTTACCTGATGAGGAAGTTGGCACCGGTGCCCTTGTTGCACGTGCCGTCCCCGTAGACATTGCCCGGCCGGCGTCCGCAGAAGCCGCAGAAGATCCCGACCGTCAGACAAAACGTGATGATCAGCACCAGGCCCGAGATGATCAGGAACACGTAGTATCTGGTGCGCGGAGGAGCAACACTGATTAGTGACGTCACGTGGGGGAATTGTGCGCTAAGATGATGAACAAGGCATGTGCAGTGCAGTATCTGGCGTGGAAAGATGGCGAGCTGTTGATGCAATTATGAACGGTAAATTGTAACAAGACAATCAGGAACATGTGTAACCTTGCACGGCGGGCAGAGCTGGCTCACGGAAATGTACATTACACCGTACGGCGCGCTTGCATCACTTGACCTCGGCAGCACTCGTGCATAGGAAAGCATGCAGGATTACACAATGGGGATGTTAGCTACAAATATTTGAGGAAAATAAATAGTTTTTGCACAGCGCAGGCAAGCACCTTTCTGGCATGTCGTTTAACAATGCCGTACATGACAATCCTTGTCGAAGCGGTATCCTGATGTCTTAATTGCCGGCATTTATTCACTTGCATAATAATGCAAATCAAAGCTTGGGAACAGCGGAGGGGCACGTTCACCGGTGTCCCTCTTGAATATACCCTTGCTGGTGTCTCCAAGGGGGAGCGTTTCGTACGCACAGTGAGAGCGCACTTGTTGGAGTACTAGTGCTATTTATTGATAACCGGTGAATGGGCGTCTCTGTGTCGCGTGTTTTGTTTTGTACCTCCATGTTCTTATCTACTTTTTTACACCGGTCTGTGATAGCTACGCCCCATTGTGGATGGCCCCATGGACGCGATGCGTACACACAACACATGCAAGGGGGGGGGGGGCACACGTTCCCGGTGAGTCTCATGAACACGCGTCTGCTGGTGTTTCCAAGGCACACAGCGAACCACGCCGCGCCCAGCGCGTGCGAGGCGACGGCGGCGTTCTGGCGCAGGTAGTCGCGCCGCGCCCAGCGCGCGCGAGGCGGCGGCGGCGGCAGGGCCTACCTGAAGGCGCCGTACTGACGCAGGTAGTCGTTTGCCTCGTCAATGGCTCTGTGAGCAGGCCGCAGCTGGACCTCGTCTAGCACGCTGGTGATGTTAGTGGCGACCCCCTGCAGCTGAATGCCTGGGGGAGACAACGACTGTTGCGGAAAAGCTGCGCCAAGAGTTTTGCAGAAGGGCAGAGGCACACAGCTTCGTTTAAGGACACGTCCAGCCGTCCATCCCACCACCTGGTACATTCTTCCCTAACGTCAATTTAATCTCCCCAAACGACGGTTTCTCACCTTTAATAAACGGTGACTTGTACCTTCTATTTTACGCATTTAGCCAGTAGTCACATATTTCAGCACAAGGTACACGACCATGAAATAATGCTCAAAGACGGTAGTAGCGTAAAATAATTGGTATTTTATGAGAACTATGCTCGCAGGACGGGTGATCAGAAACCCACGCTTCTCGCTCCGCATTTGTAATTAAGGACTGCCATCTTAACAGTCATGGGGGAGTGCTGAACAGGGGTGGATCTAGACTGGAGTTGTTGTTTTTTTTTGGGGGGGGGGGGCAACCGTTCGTCGCCAGCTCGCTGGTATGGGATCCGAGGTCCAATGCATGGTGCCTCTCGCGAGTACCTAGTAGGGACACCATTCTAGCACAGGAATGCTTTTGAATCTTCTTTATCCAGTATGCATGTTTACCAAGCTCGTAACCCTCATTTTGAGGTATTTTTTGCTATTACGTATTTACTATTATGTAGGCTATTATTTTGAGGTACATCTTTTAAGGTGGGTAGACGAAACTTTTATGAATTTCTGGGAATGTTTGGGGGACGGGCCAAAACATACTCTCAGAGTTTTTTGGGGGGCAGGGCCCAGTGCTCCCCTCCCCCCACCCCAGGATCCGCATATGGTGCTGAATTGTTATGCAGTATGATGAGGGACCTGGGTGTAAAACCTAGTTCGGTGGTTTACCTTTCACCTGATTGCACCACAAAACGGCGTCGACGATCGGAATTAACTTTTTTACGCGGTGTATTCTAGGGTGACAGAAATACTGGGGGGTGGGGGGGATTGCAAATAAATCAATCTTACCATGAGGACCGCTTCGAAATGTCGCTTCTCAAAAGTTACGATGCTTACTTGCCGTTCAATCAGTACCTCTTTGCAAACTGAAGGCCAATCATCTTTCAGGGAACTGTCAACTCATGATGTCCCCCCCCCCCCCCACTACAATAACGAGCGCAGGGTCTTCCTTGCTCATATCGAATCTCCAAAGTTGTTTAAACCGGTCATTCTGACTGGTGGTAGGCTAGGCTGGCAACCAGGTGGAAACACGCCCGATTACCAGCCTACACCTGCTGAGTTCATCCAGCTGTCGACATGTCTGTTTAGGTTGTGCAAGCTCAGTTTACTTCTAGGTATAGACACTTCCTGGCAGTGTCCATGATGCATTTTCCATAGCGTCGACGGAAAACGTATCATTTGCACACTCTTCTGTAGCCCGTACGTGTCATGACGCACCGTTCTGCACAGAACGGTGTGTTTTTCGCCCCGGGTCACCTTCCATGAATGAAAAACGAGAGACCTGTTTCGGTGAGCATATCTGGCCGGCTACTTAGATATTTCCTGTGAACAAGAAAGGCCCGATTGGATAGCACCAATGAGTTGACAAAAAATGCTTGCTGTGAATTTCACCTATTTCAAAGTTCCTCACAACATTGCAGCTTCATATGGGCTCGAAATAGGGAAACATTCCTTCACAAAACGATTTGCATTCATAAAATACTTCCCATTTTCTATTCTTGACATTGGGGCCACAAATTCAAGTGGCCGAACCCCGGAAATGAATCAGGTTTTGGGGTTTTAAGAATGTCAGCCTTCTCGGTTTAGCCCCCACCCTGGCACCGATTTTAGGAAGTGGCAGCCCTGGGCCTTTTCGTAGATTCAATTTGGCTTTCTCCCGCCCAAACACCCGGTTTTGCCTTTGAGCGATGCCACCAGTGCATGATGCACGAAGCGATCTAAATCAGGGTAAAAAGTTAGAGTCAAAATAAACTCAAACCATTTTTTATGCTACTATTTATGCTACTCTACATCCCTGACCAATCCGGCTGTTCCATTTCGAATTCAATTAAGTCTTCTTGCATCCAATCTACACATTTTTCCCAAAACAGCTCAGCCGATTTGCAGCCACGTCTTATGTATGCAAGCCAACGAACGGGCGGGCGTGCTGGGCCCGACGAGAGCGGCGCCGGCCCGTTTTACCCCGGAACGTTAGCAGTCAGCGCCGAACTGCCCTTATATCCACCAGCTGCACATAACACATCCGGCTCAAGGCCGTCCGGTCCTGTTCACGCCATGCGAGCCATAGACTGTCGTGGTGACTCATGCGGCTAGCAGAGGGCAGTGGCGACTGCGTCCGGTGAACAGGGTGGCCAATCGAAGCGCCGTCGGACGCAATCAGCAGAAATGGGCAGCTAGCTGAAACGTTCTGTATGACAAAGGTGTGACGCCACAGTAAGGCTCGTCAAATGAAAGCTTATTGGTTCGCTAAATTAAAAACTCCAACCGACTGCCACAGCACTGCTGCCAAGCCAACGAGGTGAACACCAGTTACCAACAGTCCGTTTTGCGTTTCAAATCGGGGAGGGGATGTTCGTAAGCGTTTCGAGTGCAATGAGTGAGGTGCTAGGTATGCACAGCAGCAGCGGCCCAAGGGCGGTAGGTGCGCGCGGCCCCTGGCCTCTGACCCCTAAAACAAGACCACTATGCATGATGGAATAAAAACGGCCTGGCTATTCCCATGATGACACGGCCTGGGTCTAAATAGCTTCCAAGAACATTATTAGCCAAACAACCGGTCGCTGCCACTAGTATTTTCATTTCGTAATTGGTCGGAACAGACATTGATTTTCAGTTAAGACTTTTGGATCAAGGGCAATCCAGACTGATGCACAGGGGCATGCAAAACTTGTGGCTGTTTGATTTTTTACTTATTGAATAGCAGTTCTGTATTTCCTCATAAGCTGCACCGAGTGAGTGAACTTTCGAGGAGGGTGTTTCGGTGACGCTCGTCCACAAATTCCCACCTGGTGGTTACTAGCTATTCATAACTCACCTAGCCAACCACCATGGTCGCACACGCGCCCGTGTCCACCAGCCTCTCATAACTCACCTGAGAGCATGCCTCTTGGTCGCACCTGTGCTCATGACCACCAGCTACACATAACTCACCCTCCCGACTGATACTCTGCCGGACCTCGGGCACGATGGCCGCCACCTCTGCCTGGATGCGCTCAGACAGCTGGTCGAGCGCCTGTTTGCCGGAGCGAACTTCGCTCTCGATGCCGTTCTCGATGAGGGCGGAGATCTCGCGGGCCGTCCTCGACACGTCGGGCAGCTGGAGGTCACGATACTGATCAGCGAGACGGACCACAGCAGATTCTGAAGGCTTGCACGACCAGGTGACGGGGTGGCGATAGTTGGAGAGGGTGTCAAATCAGGTCAAAAGGCTATCAGTGGAGGTTTTGACAGAAAACGGACGATGACAACATGAAATTTTAGGGATATGTCATGTACAATGAATGTCACCTTGTCACATCACTTTTTTATAACATGCTCGAAGAACGATATGAGAAGCATGCAAGCATGCACAAAGGCAGAACCCGTCCAGGTTTATGGCAGAGACAAGAGCACCCAATCCATCGCAATGATTCGCACATCGCGACCGAGGGATGGCCAATGTCACCTCTCGCAACCAAATCCAATCGAACGCTATACATATATATATATATATATATATATATATATATATATATATATATATATATATATATATATATAATAAGCTGCTGCCAAGTTTCAAGTATATATATATATATATATATATATATATATATATATATATATATATATATATATACTATATATATATATATATAGCTGCCAAGTATATATATATATATATATATATATATATATATATATATATATATATATATATGGTTATGCCCTATTGACCACGTCATCGTGATGAATCGAGGAATGACGTAATCGGCGGAGGTGGCAACAGCGAGGAAGAGGGGGAATCACCTGTTTAAACGAGTTGTCGACGCTGAGTTGCGAAAGGTTAAACCGTGCTCCCAATTGTCGGCAGCGCGGCGCCTCGCAGGAGCGCAGCAGCACGGTCAGCTCGGCACGCGCGTCCTGAAGGCCCACCCCCAGCTGGTCCGCCTTGTTCTGCAGCAGCTGGGACTGGTCGGCGATCGCCTGAGGCCGGGTCGGGCGAGTTCAGGTCAGGCCAGGTCAGGTCAGGTCAGGCGCATGAGCGCACTCAGCTGACGGCTCGTGGAAGGCGGCGAAGGCTGGGCACGCTCGCAAATCCCCTGTTGGGGAATGTGATTGGCAGTAAATCGTTGAAATTTTGCCAGTGCTCGTCATTGCTACTGCAATTGGTGTCGTGATCATATTGGGCTATTATGAATGCCACTGATAGTGAGTCTTGTTCTATGTAATTGGGCCCGTGGTCGTGGGCTATCACAATTTATTAGGTTGCAAAATGCAATAAATCATGTATTTTTCCTTTCACGTTAACGCATCCCAGTCATGTAAGTCCATCAAGCTGCACGACTTTACAGTCATAAACATCCCCTCAGGAATACACAAGCTTTCACAATGATCGACACTTTCAGCACACAAATTGTCTGCTCTGTAACGCCCAAACATTTCCAATGACGTGATCTGCCCCTTCCACATACATACGAGCACGAGGCCGAACCTCCAGACGACGGCATCCCCACCGTCCAGGTCGGCACTCTAGCCTTTCACGACGGCATCAATTCCCTCCAAGACAGCATCCCTCCCTCCAGGATGCCCCCCCCCCACCCATGACGGGGGGGGCTCCTGCTCTCTCCTCCTGCTCTCTCCATGACGGCATTCACTCCCTCCAGGACCGCACCCATTTCCTCCATGACGGCATCCACTCCCTCCAGGACCGCACCCATTTCCTCCAGGACGGCGTCCCCTCCCTCCAGGACAGCGTCCCCTCCCTCCAGGACGGCGTCCCCTCCCTCCAGGACGGCGTCCCTCCCTCCAGGACGGCGTCCCCTCCCTCCAGGACGGAGTTCCCTCTCCAGGAGTCAGTCCTGCCGTCAGGTCACGTCGAATGTCACCGAGCCCCTCAGCGCCCTCCAGGACGGCGTCCCCTCCCTCCAGGACGGAGTTCCCTCTCCAGGAGTCAGTCTTACCGTCAGGTCACGTCGAATGTCACCGAGCCCCTCAGCGCCCTCCATGACAGCGACCTCTCCCTCCAGGACGGAGTTCCCTCTCCAGGAGCCAGTCTTACCGTCAGGTCACGTCGAATGTCACCGAGCCCCTCGGCGATCGCTGTCAAGTTCTCTACGGCCACGGCGCGGGAGATGGTGGCCAGCTGGGTCTTGATCCGGTCTCCACACCCTGTCGATTGGGGAAGGGGAGGTCAAGCTGGGTGCCGAGGCGCTCCGACCTTGGGGATGTTTTGTTACATAAAGGGGAGGGAGGAGGCGCTGGAAACCGTGCTCAAGACGTTAATCATTGGTACCTTTGTGAGTGGGGTAAGGACCGTAGCAACGTTACGTCGAGCTGACACCGCTGTCTTCGTAGGTAGCGGACTGGTCGCCATGCAGGAAAAGCATGCATGGATATATGCACGCCTCTTTGCATGCCTCAAACATCTTGGCAATCACATGGATCCCATAACATGTGTCAGGTACAGGGACAGATGCACAGGCTGTCACATGGATCCCATAACAGTGTCAGGTACACAGGCTGACAGATGCACAGGCTGTCACGCTGATGGCAACAATATTTCATTCAGCACCGGCTCGGCTTGAACTTGATAGCATTCGGGAATAAGAGGAAATGGGATTATACACACAACTCAAACACTCCAGCAGGCACACATACACACGGCATCTGTGGCAACATTCCCTCCCCCCCCCCCCCCTTAGCACTCCTCAGGTACGCGTGCGGCCGATAGCGCTTCGCCCAAGTTCATCCGGCACGTCATGAATCAGCCGCCCCGAGAAGCGGACGGTGGGGCCGCGCGTCAACCGGTCATGACTTGTGCTTGTCACGTCAACCGGTCATGACTTGTGCTTGTCGAGCAGGCGCGCCGTTTAACGCCCACCGCGCGCCGCGAACACAACAATACACGCATCAGCAGGTTCAAGGGCGTCGATAACGGGCTACTTCCACGCCGGGCAGCCGTCAAAAAAGATAAGGATCGCCTTGATTATGCTGTGTAGATAAGGGCCAGCATAATGGAGACAGTCTTCGCTGGTTTGACTATTCGCCGTTGAGTTAGATTGTGAGAATAATGAATGGAATGGTAAGGAACTGATGAGTTGGACGAGTGCTCAGTTTGGATTTGGTTAGGTAAAATCCCATCAGGTCAAGGTCATCCTTTTCTTTGTTCTGATTTCTCTTGGAGTATATGTTTGCACGCAGCAGCCTAATATCCGGACACATACATTGAGACGCCTGTCAAGCTGGTTTCGTCATGACCCAGAATCGACATGCTAGTAACGTAAGACAATAACGGATGGGCTTGAATAGATGATCCGAAGACTTTCGTCCTCTTGTGAGACAGGCTTATCATAAAATATCCCAAGCAAGCGACACATGAACATGCAGAAGCGTCACAGCCATTGCAACACCATAAACATACCAATTATCATGATGGAACCAGACGCGGCCGCGATAGAGTCTGGCAGTTGTCAATCTCTGTCCACAGCTCAGTGCGATCCACACCCGGTGCCGGGCATCCCAGGGGATGGACGACCGCTGTCTCGCCGTCGACACTCACCCTCTAAAGACTCGTCCAGCACCTCCGTCAACTCCATGTAGTTGTTTTTCAGCAGGTGGTTGACCTCCTGTCAGAGGCGCAAGAACAACAATTAAACCCCGCCAGGCAGCTCACGTATACCCGCTAAACAAACGCGGCCGCCGGCGCCGCCCACCGACCAGGAACAATATACAACTGCTCGGCGCTATCGAGCCGATCAACGCGTCCAAGTTCAGTCAAACCGGGGCTGCCAGCCTGCAACTATTTTCACGATCCGATAGTTGACTCGACACGAAGGCTTATAAGAAGGGCTTGCGTGACTCGCTCTCGTGCCGTGCATTGGGCACATTAGCTCCATTGGGTCTCGCGCTCAAGCAAACGAAAACAGGCATCAAGAGAGTCTCACAAGGTCCTCGTTCACGGGCCTCAAAAATTGATTCGGTTACAGCGTATGGAGCCGGAGAACTCCCACTGGGCTCAGAGACTGGCCAGTAGGCCATATCAAGAATTCGCTTGACTACGTATGCAGTAAAGTACGATGTGACACCTACAAGCATCAGTCTTCCTTTACGACACTTAAGGCATACAGAGAGGCGAAGGCTCTTAACAATGTCCGACACCGTTTGTGGCACGAACACTGCACTACGCATCATCACCATAACCGGTACCAGCGCCGTTCTTGGACCGATCCAAGGAGTTCACACCCGAGCACGGCGTCGTTCGCGAGCTGGCACAAATGGCGGTATTTCACGGGACGCTAAAGACGGAGTGGTGAGCACACACGAATGTATGCTTAGTTGGCAGCGACATAAGCTGACCTCATGGTGTATCGTCGATGATACAGGGCGTGGCTCCCACATAAACGTTGCGCATGTTAACAGAGACATCGTAGAGACCTGGCATCAAACTTTTTTTCGAAAATGATCCCCAGTGGCGTCTATGCTGCTGCAAGATGTACATCGCCGATGCCATTCTATTTTGAGGGTCAGCCGTCAAAAGCGTTATGCAGTCTAACGCCATCCCACGGCGTCCTGCCTCCGTGTTAAGAGCAAAAGTGGCACGAGCCGAAGCACTTATCAAGAACCTTCCCGTCGCTGTTTCCAGAAACTACGCAGCGCCGCTTTTCGGAACGTCTCCTGACGCTAGTGAAACCGACCAACATGTTCGCGACAAATGTGGTACTTCGCGTGCAAGGACCTTGCAAATGCAAATGGCCTTTTAGTACACTCAGGATACTGAAGGAAGCAGCATTGACTACTCAAGGCGTCCCGGTTCTTTAACTGAACTCCACCTTTGTTTGCTGTGGCCATACGGACAGACATTCCCATGGCAGCTGCTGGTTCAAATGGAACATTGGCACACACCCTCAGGCACATTCAGCAATAAAGGACGGGAGAACCCGACCAGGCAAGCATCCGTCCACTTCAAGATGGTCCTTCGCTTGGCCTGCGATACCCAAGATGATATGAACTCGCATAATTAGGTGATGGAAGAGGCCTAGAGATAACCATAAGGTTTGCACATAATGTGTATCAGCATACTTATTTGATCCCACGATATAGAGGCTCCACGAAGACCAGGTGTTGGGGCGTGGACAGTAACAATTTTCCTCGCCACCCACCACCATAAAACGGCTAATGTAAGCATCGGCCGGGTGGAAGCGTGCAGCCTCCCCTGGCCACCACTCCCACGGCCCAGACACAGCACCGAGCCGGCCGCGGTTGCGCGCACCAGTTTGGTGTTCTGCACGTAGAGCTGGGAGTCGTTGACGGCCACGTGCAGACGCGGCGGTACCTCGGTCACGCCTCGCTCTACGTACTCGTTAACCACGAACGAGCCGACCACGCCGAACCTGTCGCCGGACATCAGCGTCACGCGGCTAGCCGTACCGGAAACATCGTCAAACGTGCCATAGATTGCCTTGAAAAGAGGCGTAGCAATGCGATTCCAGTTGGGGGTGGGGGGGCGGGGGGGGGGGGGGTGGAAGGGGGCGGGGAGCAAGAGGAGTTGAGCAGGAGAAATGGCTGGACTTGTCCCTGACTACGCCGGAAAAGCGTGTTTTCCCAGGATCTGACCAATTTTTTCACAGTTGGGGGGGGGGGGGGTTGGAGCATCCCTTTAGCAACTGAATAGAAAGCTACACCTTGGCACTGATACCGACACAATATCACGTAACTGTGGCATTTGACATGCGATCCAAAAGGTGCACGACGGACAATGAGGTGATGTATGAGATGTATGGAAAGAGGCTAAGCTGGAGATGAGTAAACAAATCCCGGGGGTCCGGACGCTCCAGGGTCAGAAAATAAAAGGCGTCGTGATTTATAACGGCATGTTCCCACACCTTGACTTACAAGCAGGCTGGAAAGAACCATTCTTTATAATGTGAGTGCGGCTTGTCGACACGCTTGTCATGCAATATCGAAACACCATGAAACTATCCTAGTTTGGAAGCATCAATACAGTTGTGCTCGTTTTTGAAGAAAAAAAATTATCGTAAACAGAACGACTCGTCCAACAGGCAACTCCTAAAAGGGGCAAGTAAAAGGCCAAAGTAGACTGGCGACGATCATTTTCACGACTCACAAAATCAGCAGGACTAAAAGACTGAGGAAGATGCCGTTGCACCAGCGCCTGCACGTGTCTTTTCTCTTATCATAAGGCTCCACCCGGCCCCCACACTTCCCGGAGCAGCGGCAGCAGCAGACAATGAGGCCTGCGACAAAAGTCACGAAAGGTCACGGCAGCCGACACAATTGTGAACAGCGACGACAACAGATGACCAGACCTGCAGTGGAGGTTACACAAGGTCACGGTAATCCACACAAAATTGTAACCTGAGCAGCGGCAAAGGCTAGCGATGAGATCCGCAGCATAACTTGCATCTCAGTTTACGCATTTCTTAAAATCGTTATCAAAAGTTTAAACTAACAACGATGAGATGACGATAGTATCACAAACTGGGGTCACACAGTGGTCAGCAAAGTCCAAGTATGAACGCAAAACGCGTTCCAGGCCAGGCGTGCACGCATTCGGCGGTCCTTGAAGAGTTCAGCCGTGCAAGGCTCAAGTTCACTGACGTTACATCCAACAAGAAGGGACGTGAGCAGTACCAGCACAACACCGACACGGGGCTGGTGAAGTGACGGTGCCGGCACACTCACCGATGAAGGGAGTGAGAAGCGCCAGCACGATGCCGACGCCAGCCAAGATGGCGTAGCCCAGGTGGTGATGCACCAGTGTGGACCAATCATACAGCCCCAGGTGGACAAACGTCTCGGTCAGATTGCCCGCCTTCCGCGCTGTCTCCAGCTGCCTCTGATCTGCCGACGGAGGTCAGAGGTTAGTCGAGATCAGCCGGGATCAGCCGAGGTTAGTGTCGACGGACGCCCAGATAGACAGGGGCGGTGGGGGGGGGGGGGGGGGGGGGGGGGGGGGGGGAGGTGAAAGGGCGGGGAGTTGCGTTTTGCAAGCTGATTGGGTCTACGAGTGCGACCATACTCCGCGTGTCTGCCACGGATCGGTGCAGCCAATCGAAACCACGCACAATCACCTGCTGCTGAGGTCACAAAGGGTCCCCCCCACGCCGGCTGGTCTGAGAAACTGCGGTGAGCTCAGACGTGAAAAGTCAACACAATGATTTTCCTAGAACTGCCAGTGTTAACATCCGGCGGCTATGCCGTTATTTGTTTATCTTCTCGAAGGCACCAAGGTGATATAATCTAAGTGACAAAGCAGGGCAGGAGTTATATCAACTTCAACATACAGTATGTGCTAGTAGTAATGTTCGGTGACATGGACACGAATGCTGAAATGACTCGAATAGTGCAGACTATTTATGATTCAGTTGATACACGTCCACTTACAGGCGTCAGAACGAGGGACGAGGGTGTCATGCCGCGCTTCTCGCGCAAGATTAACGTTAAACCAATGGAGACGTATGGAAGGCGACCATTCGCAAGGTAGATTTACTTCTCGCAGGCATTTTGGGAAGTCTACGGGCCCCGGCATTCGCGAAAATGGTGTGGTCGCTCCCGGCGGTCCATTATTCTTAGTCAAGGGTATGGTGTGGTCAGCTGGCGGGCCTCTGTGGCCATGGGTATGGTGCGGTCGGCTGGCGGGCCTCTGTGGCCATGGGTATGGTGCGGTCGGCTGGCGGGCCTCTGTGGCCATGGGTATGGTGCGGTCGGCTGGCGGACCTCTGTGGCCATGGGTATGGTGCGGTCGGCTGGCGGACCTCTGTGGCCATGGGTATGGTGCGGTCGGCTGGCGGGCCTCTGTGGCCATGGGTATGGTGCGGTCGGCTGGCGGACCTCTGTGGCCATGGGTATGGTGCGGTCGGCTGGCGGACCTCTGTGGCCATGGGTATGGTGCGGTCGGCTGGCGGGCCTCTGTGGCCATGGGTATGGTGCGGTCGGCTGGCGGACCTCTGTGGCCATGGGTATGGTGCGGTCGGCTGGCGGGCTCTCTGGCCATGGGTATGGTACGGTCGGGTGTCGGACTCTCTGGCCATGGGTATGGTGCGATCGGCTGGCGGACCTCTGTGGTCATGGGTATGGTGCGGTCGGGTGGCAGGCTCTCTGGCCATGGGTATGGTACGGTCGGGTGGCGGGCTCTCTGGCCATGGGTATGGTGCGGTCGGCTGGCGGGCCTCTGTGACCATGGGTATGGTGCGGTCGGCTGGCGGGCTCTCTGGCCATGGGTATGGTGCGGTCGGCTGGCGGACCTCTGTGGCCATGGGTATGGTGCGGTCGGCTGGCGGGCTCTCTGGCCATGGGTATGGTACGGTCGGGTGGCGGGCTCTCTGGCCATGGGTGTGGTGCGGTCGGGTGGCGGGCCTCTCTGGCCATGGGTATGGTACGGTCGGGTGGCGGGCTCTCTGGCCATGGGTATAGTGCGGTCGGGTGGCGGGCCTCTCTGGCCATGGGTATGGTGCAGTCGGGTGGCGGGCTCTTTGGCCATGGGTATGGTGCGGTCGGGTGACGGGCCTCTGTGACCATGGGTATGGTGCGGTCGGCTGGCGGGCTCTCTGGCCATGGGTATGGTGCGGTCGGGTGGCGGGCTCTCCGGCCATGGGTATGGTGCGGTCGGGTGACGGGCCTCTGTGGCCATGGGTATGGTGCGGTCGGGTGACGGGCCTCTGTGGCCATGGACGGCGTATGACTGTCATCGCCATTCTGGGTCAGACCTACAGATGTGGCGAGCTGACCGTAGCCAGTGTCTCTTCTAGCACACTGTTACCGACAGATCACCAGCCCACAGCGCTGGGAGATCAACGCACCACTGTGCTCGGGTCGTGATCAAAGAACGTCCGTCACGACCGGTGGCGGTTCAGGGCGGTGTGAACAGCGCCATCAAGCATGTAGGTAGCAAGCGTGCGTACCAGACAGAGCCCTGGTTGTGCATAGAAGAGACGCCACCAGCCAAACAGGCTCCAAACGCCACCACCTGCGCCAGTTGCAAGACCAGCGTCATCAGCCACGACGCAGAACAACGAGCTCGAAGAAAAGGACCGGGAGAGCAGACAATAGATTAGCGGGCAGCCCGCTGTTGAAAGCGCATGGGCGCGACCAAACAACGCCCGCAGCATACGATAAATCGCATTGGTTTGATTCCAACGGCACCGCATTTTGCTGGATCGTCCGTGCAGCGAGTTTGAAATCCAAACGCGGAAAACGTTCCACGCCGGCGCACTGGCCACATCACCTTATAGGCCACCTCCTCAGGCGGAACATCAATACCGGCAGGCGCACACGCCGGGAAGGCCCAAAACAGGCCGACTGGCCGCGGCGAGGCATGTGACTCACGCCGATCGCGCGCCGTCGGGCACGTGATCGGATCCCCTTAAACATGGCCGACCTCGGAGAGAGCGGCAGAGTCGCGGCTGCTCCGAGCGCAAGGTTGCTCGCCAGTGCTGCCCGGTCTCCAGCACTTCACAACGCGGCTCGTCAGCTGACAACGGGAATCGAGACGGTCAGCTGACTCAAGCGTGACGTCAGAGTCTGGGATCGGCTGGTCTAGAGAGTGGATGACGCGACGCAGTCGGTGAGCTCGTCTGCGGGAGGTCAATCAGCGGGCCCAGAGCCGGCCGATCGCCTGGTCTGAGGAAGCCATGCAGCTGGCGCGAAATAGACCAGTCATGCATTTAGCAGGACGCGATCAGCTGATCGGTCAGAGCGCAGTCAGATGCTCAAGAAGATCCTAGCCAGCTGATCCAGCAAAATGTAGTCAGTTTGTCTAAAAGCCGCCCGTCACCTGATCATACTGAGCCAGTCAGCTGACGCCAGCTCCAGCTCTGTCAGCGAACGGCAACAGCGATGTCGCTGCCCGATGCGTGTCGGGGCAGTGCCGGCTCTGACGCCGTCTGACACGGTCTGCGTGACGTTCGCGTGACCAGATGGCGACCACGCGCACGTGGCAGGGCGCGTGCTCTTCCCATCCCTGTCTCAGTGGGAACAAAGGCCCGCTTCTGTTTGGAGCGCACCGGATCGAACAGTGGCGCACGCAGGCAAGTGTGATCCCACCCATGAACCTTTCAGGACTGCAGGGCCATAAAGCCGTATTAAGGCAAACGGCGTATTGGGCCGTTGCATGCATGCTTTAGTCAGTGGCAGCATAAGCTGCCCTGAAATCATGCAGTAAGTTACGAAGCTAAACAAAATGTTGTCGGAATTGCAATTTACTTGTTCATTTTGCGCCTTTCAACATAGTTTAGCGATATCATGCAAAGAAAACCGTAGCAAAACGGACCCGCTGAACACATTTTTCCACGCCAACGGTGTCGGCCCCTCATTTCGTGGCCCTGGGCGCGCCACTGCGCTGTGCAAACGGCGTTAGCTCGGGCGTGAGACCTCCCAGCCGCCGACGGCGTGTCTCGCCCTGTCCCGATCCGTCAACATCGGACCGGCGCCCCGCAGCGGCAGCTGCAGTCCGTGCAGACTCCGCATGGCTTGCCGCCACTGCAGGAGTGGACTGCACGACGGACCGACTACACAGACGGACTGCACGGCAGACCCGCTGCAGGACGGACTGCACGACAGGCCGACTGCAGTGACGGACTGCGCGACAGGCCGACTGCAGGGACGGACTGCATGGCAGACCGAATACAGGGACGGACTGCACGGCAGACCGACTGCAGGGACGGACTGCACGACAGGCCGACTACAGGGACGGACTGCACGGCAGACCGACTGCAGGGACGGAATGCGGGACAGACGCGCTACCGAGGTGAACCGTGCCAGGCTATCACGTCCAGTAGACTTCAGCACTTCCCGCCCTTTCAGAAAGCTTTGGCCTCGGACACCAGGATGTGGACATAGAGGTGTAAGGGACGTGTAAGAGACGCGAGAGGTCGGAGGTACGGGTGCTAACAAGGGGTGGTGAGATCAGGGAGTACGAGCATCGGCACTTAGGAGAGAGTGACATGCCACACTTGCCTGAGTTTATCAAAGTTGGATACGTCGCTGGTTTATTATTGAAACTCTCACTTTCAAAACAGATCTGGTGCGCTTTGGAAGGTTACCCGACTTCTTCATGCGGGGGTGCGCACGCGGTCAATCTACCGTTTGGCTTAGCCCATCTAAGATGGGCTTCACCCAGGCCGGCACTGCCGTCTGCATTCATGCATGCGTGACTGCATAAGCGAAGAGACACGTAGCGTGCATGATCAAGCGCCGTGGGCGTATACTGTAGGCACCCCTGCCTGAGCCACCTGCCTGAGCCAGGTGTCCCCTCATCAGTGAATGTAACGGATGTTGTAAATGCTGGGGGAACGTTATCCGCTCAGCCGCAAGCAGGCTCTGAATATGAGAGTTTACCGCCGCAAAGGGCGAAATTCTGTGGCAGGTGACATTGATCAACCAGAAACAAAAAAACAAAAACAAAAGCCGCTGTGCGCTGGTAGGCAGATTATTGTGCTTGATCTTCTTATCATTACACGGTTTGGACGCACTGGCTACGCCCCCAAACAGCGTTCATTATGGGTGCTTTACTTAGCAAGCTGCAGAAAACAGCTCGCAGCAAAAACAGCAGCACTGGACAAATGACATCCTGTAACGCTCAAACGCAGAGTTATGTAACATATCTAGCCGTCCAGCCCTACAGCGACAGTGGCTACTGCCTGCCGCACACTGCCGACAGACAAACAGACATATAAACGCACTGAAGCCGGCGTGTTTACCGGGTGAATCACAGTTTACACTGGCGGCTCGGCTCAGGGGCCAGCTGGCAATCAACACACGCCCTGAAGCCCGCTAGTCAGCCGCGGACGCCGCTCGAGAGGCGGGGGGGGGGGGGGGGGGGTGTTCATTACCGGCACCGGTGC